TAAAGCAGTTCTGAAGGCGAAAGGGGGTCAAACACTGTATTAGTATGGTGTTCCTAATAATCCTTTAGGTGAGTGTATATTACTGATATCATACCTTTTAAGGTGAGGAGTGAACTTTCTAACAGTGTATTCGAAGGTATCAAAAAAAAAAAAGATGCTTGGTCAGAGAGAATTACTGTGACATTTGTCGGAAAAGAGCAAAGGTATTATTAATGTGCAGATCTAAATGTTTTTTGATACCGAGGTTTGGAGAAGAGGGAGTGACTGCATGAAACCCAAAGCAGCATTTAAATTATCTGCAGATTGTAACCTAGGTGGAAGTTCAGAGGAGAATGCTTCCATCTCAACCCAGACCAGGACAGGGGCTAAATTCCGATGCTGCAATCAGTAATGCATTAATCTAAGGGTCCAGACCGAGGGATAGAACCTGAAATTAGGAAGTGTGAGTCCCCCATGTACTGTAATTTAATTTAAGCTGCTTATGTAATCTGTGAACCTTTTTATCCCATGTGAAGTGAAGTATTCCAGTCTTGTTGAAAACAGTAGCAGGAAGGAGAATTGGAATACACTGAAATAAATAGCGGAATTTTGGAAAAACATTCATTTTAATTGAATTTTATCCAGGCTGCTAATGAAAGATGAAACACTGACCATCACTCAAAGTCCTGACATACAGAGTTTAACAAAAAAGCAAAGTTATCCTAGTATAGGTATTTATATTCCTTGGTCACCTGAATCCTTAGATAAGTGAAGCCTTCATGGGTAATTCTGAAATGAAAGCTGTGTTACGGAAATTTATTTGTGGATGCATTTGCGGGGCAATACTTCATTTTTGTTTGGTTTTATTTTGTATCCAGACACATTAGCAAAATTATGGTAGCAAGGGCAGTTGTGACAGAGATGGAGGGATCAGAAAAGTTCAGCAAAAGGTCTTCAGCATGTAGGGAAACTTCCTGCTCAGACCCACATGTGGTAATGGTGCTGATACTGGGAATTCAGCAAAGCACTAGGGCATGAGGTTCCATAATGATAGCAAATAACAGAGGGCTTGAGATGTCGACCGGCATGGAGGAGAGCTGACTGGGTGTTGTTTGTTTTGACAGATGCATGCAGACACATGTATAGCAATTTTATCCAACCGATGAAGTTGGCACCAAAGCCAAATTACTCCAGGGTGTAGGAAAGGTATTTCCACTCAACCCGGTCAAATGCTTTTTTAGCATCCAAAGATATCAGAGCTTCAGAGGCAGTGGTGCTCAGTGGGTTATAAAGAGCATTAAATACTAATCTCAGGTTAAAAAAGGAATTCCTGTTCCTAATGAATCTGCTTCAGTCAGGAGAGGTGATGGATGGAATGGCATGTTTAAGTCGCATACCAAAAATTTGGCTAATAATTTGGAGTCTGCATTCGATAAGCTGATTGGGCAGTAAGACGCACAATCCAAATGGTCAGGAGAGATGGATGCTTGTGTGAGTGTCTGAGGAAGAGTTTGGGTCACGAAAGACTCATACATTTCAATTAAAACTGGTGTAAATTTGTGCAGAAATTTCGGAATGGGATAGCTGTCCGGCCCAGGGCATTGTACAGCGTAATGATCTGAGAGCAACTGTCAACTTTTCAGTATTGATTGGTTGTTTCCATTTTTCAATCAGTTCTTGAATGACAGAATAAGTTTTTAAGAAAATCAAAAGTAGGATCTAATTCCATGAGATCCACATCATGTTTTGAAGAATATAAGAATGTATATAATCTTCTGAACTTGTCAATAATTTCTTTGGGATCAATAGATGTTCCTGTGGAAGTACGAATTCTAGAAATTTCATGAGATGAAGAAACGTATGTTCAATTGTAATGATAATAATAATAATCAGAAAATTTATACAGCAAACCCTCTTCAATCGGCCTGATTCAGTTTAAAAGCCATTTCCATGGTGGGTTTCAGGTTTTTGTTGTACAAATTTCCCGCAGTGGGCTTATCGAGGACCTTAATTTACATTTTAGTTGCCAAAGCATATCTCAGATTTTACTAGCAGATTTTCTGAGTACAGTCTCTCAGTGACGACTGCTCTAAGGCTACAGGCGAAGCTCCGCCTTCTCTGAAATGTCATGAAAAATTTAGTCAAATATGTACTGTTGTATTTACATTACTATTATTAAGAGTGAGCTAGAACGCGTTAAACGTAATGGCTAGCTCATTCAGAGTCAGCAAAAAAAATCCTGCAGGTATTCTAACGTTATTTTTTTCTCACGTTGAAATTGGTTTTTGATTATGATGTCATCACCTACGTTTTAGCTTAACAACCCCTCCAGTTTGCTCCAGTTTTTGCACTCATGGACAGCATTTATAGGATTTCCAATGACTGCATCTTCAAAGGCTTCTGGGACCTGGTAGTGGTAAGAACAGCATTACAAAGAATAAACTTCACTTCCTCTTTCACTCCAGTGCCCCCTGCTGTTCATACTGAAAATGGTTTTAAATCACTTATGGCGTGAGGCGAATGCTGTGGAAGTGACACAAAGAAGCCCGGACCAGCATTAGAGGATGTGAATGAAGCTTTTATTGGC